TATAGTATTGATAATGTAATATTAATTATCTGCTAACGTTATATTTGGAGTATCGTCCTATCGTGATGTAAAGTGATTCCTAATCATGTTTAAATTATGGCGCGCGCGCGAATAAGTTCGGCAGAGGGCCCAACGCGTAGATTAAGGGTGGGGATGTCACCACCGAGCGTACGCGAACCGATAGATCGCTCTCCGGCTGGCTGTCCGTGGTGGTGAATAGACGTCTTGCGAATTCGCTTAATACCGGTGAGTTCTGAGGTTCGATTAACGTGGAATTTTTCCGGCAATCTTGCCGTATGTTATCGCTCTCGAATCCTTCTGATTCGATACTATTTTCGTACTCGGGAAAATTCCGTGGTTATCGTCTCTCTTCCTATTGTAACGAAGAATTGTATAATTTAGATTAGTATTATTGCGTTCTAATTAATAGAGTGATTTTTTGAATCCTGGAGTGTGGCCACTGAGCCTACGTATCATTATTGCTTCTCAATATCGAGACGTACCTTAGTATATGTATTTGCTATCGTCTTACTTTGCTTCGAGTATTTGAAAGAATTACGACTCCGTAAATTTACCCCTTTTTTTATTTATTTCATTCTCGCGAATATTAGGTTTATTCACCATTGTCTTATTACTGTTATCTCTGTGCTGTATTCTGTTCAAATTCCGAAATACTGTGATATGCCATCGCTTAGCGTTTTCTAGTGATAGTGCTCTCGAAATACTTCCAACGTTAAGGATATCGGTCCCTGAAGGATGCGCTATTAGCTACGCCTAGGTAGTACGGTTGTTAGGGCTATCGTATGATTCTTACCCGACTAGTACTATTTTTTTTTGTCATCTATACACGACCGATTTCCGGCATATCACTGCCGTTATTAATATTGTCCATATTGTAGTATCAAACTTTGTTCCTTCGTACCCGAGTATTTCACGTAATTGGGGACTATTTTTTTTGGTGTGATATATACGCGACCGATTTTCGGCATATCATTCCCGTTATTAATATTGTCCACATTGTAGTACGTAATTGTGGACCTAGCTATTGAGCGGTCCACCCTTCTGCACTTATTGTTTTATTAATGTCCTAATAAAAAGGGCTTTGTTATAATTGGTTGAAATTTGGTTCGGTGACTTCTTTTGTTCGGAAGCTTTTAGTTTTTAAATGGGAACAGGTCAAAGTTGACTAATCAGAACGAGGCGACAAGAGAAAAGTAGGCTCTACGAACACTGAGTTTTCCTCCCTCGCTTTTGTTTTTTGGTAGCTTGTTTCTTGTTTCCAATAGGCATGTCTTCGGCTGACGTCATCCCGCCCGAAGCCACCAAGAAACAAAAGCGAGGGAAGAAAACTCAGAGTTCGTAGGTGCCTACGTTTCTCTTGACGCCTCCCTCTGATTGGTCAACTTTGACCTGCTCCCATTTAAAAACTAAGAGCTTCCGGACAAAAAGAAGCTCATTTTCGTGATCAGTGAAGCCTCCCAAATACCGCCATACCCACCGGGTCAGGTAGTTTCGGAACACCCTGTATATCGAGTCGAGCCAAGAGTCTAGGCTGGCTTAACTCTTCGCCAGCAAACTTGGCTACCCACATATACTATATGTGTGTGTAGTTCTGACACAACGGTACTATGCTACGGGCCCCGCAAATCGCTCACGTTACTGAGATCTACGACGAGGAACAGCTAGCGCCATCTATTGGATTCTCAAGATAGTAATATACGGGTCGAATCTAATTTGCCGTTTTTTGCGTTTGTTAAAAAGTTATTGACAAAATTATTAGATCAGCCCGCTTTGTGTCGTCCATAGCAAAGCGGCTTTTCTCGATTTAAGTGTGATGAGTGTCCTGATTCGCCGAAAAATGGAATTTAGTGAACAGTCGTAATGGCGACGCCCATGATGTTTTGACAGGTCAGAAATGCACGATTTCTTTACGTACATTTTTCTCACAATTGATATATTTTTTGCACCTAAATTGAGAAGAGCCGCCAGCCGTATCGCATAACGAAGTGAGCTAATAAAAGATTTTGCTGAATAATTTAGAAATGAAGGAGAATAACGGAAAATACGTTTCCTCGCTTGTGACAGCAGCCTTAAGGACCTTACGATGCTGTACTATTGGTCAATCCAATAATATTCCGTTAGTGCCAACGAATAGTGAAACTTTCATATGACGACGTAAAACTTGACATACAAGATGTTTAACTGGAAAGCAAAGTTCTTTTGTTACAACTTCCATTCTTTTAAAGATATTTCAATACAGAACAAACTACTTAATGACCTTGCCATTTACTAATTTTATATTTAAAATGCACTATCATTTCTGATACATGTATTTAACAAAAAGCTGCAAAGTAGAACCTTACAAATTGCTTCCTCATTATTTTACTCGGTTTTTTCTATCACAATGATGCAAAGTAGAATCTTACACTTTGCTTCTTGATTTTTTTCTGTCGTTCACAAAGCCTCTATGAGGAAGTTCTTTGATTAATGTTGGCTTCCTCATAGAGGAAGCTTTGCAAGAGTTCGCGAATTATGTACAATTAAATTTTGGTACTTACAGGAATAAAAAATAAAAAATGTATAATCTACAAAAACAAGCCACATTACACGGCTATGGCACGCCGTAAGAAGCACCGTTGCATCATATTTTCATTGTGTATAAAGTTTTGGTTAACTTCTTGAAATTTTGCGGAAGCTAATGCAATAATGATAATTTTTTTAAAATTTGAAAACACGTAAAATCTGAACCGCTTTAGCGATCTTGTCGAAATTCAATAATAAACACACACACACACACACACACACACACACACACACACACACACACACACACACACACACACACACACACACACACACACACACACACACACACACACACACACACACACACACACACACACACACACACACACACACACACACACACACACACACACACACACACACACACACACACACACACACACACACACACACACACACACACACACACACACACACACACACACACACACACACACACACACACACACACACACACACACACACACACACACACACACACACACACACACACACACACACACACACACACACACACACACACACACACACACACACACACACACACACACACACACACACACACACACACACACACACACACACACACACACACACACACACACACACACACACACACACACACACACACACACACACACACACACACACACACACACACACACACACACACACACACACACACACACACACACACACACACACACACACACACACACACACACACACACACACACACACACACACACACACACACACACACACACACACACACACACACACACACACACACACACACACACACACACACACACACACACACACACACACACACACACACACACACACACACACACACACACACACACACACACACACACACACACACACACACACACACACACACACACACACACACACACACACACACACACACACACACACACACACACACACACACACACACACACACACACACACACACACACACACACACACACACACACACACACACACACACACACCTACGATTTTTTCTAAACCACTTTTCTTGACTTTTTAGATTATGTTAAGTATTCTGACATGAAAATCTCGAAAAAAAAATTTTACATGAAAACATAGCTTTCTCTATGAGGCAGCAAAATGTATGGATTTCCATAGAAATTTCAAAATATTCACAGAATATCCATAAGTGGAAACTGTGGATATCTTATGGATATCAATTTAGATGTTGAGGTTATCTTCTGAATATCCTGTGGATATCGACAGCCAAATTGGGATATCCTATGGATATCAAATGCTGTGTGGGTTATATTACAAATTATATCCTACTTTGTAATTGTTATACTAGTTATATATTAGTGTTAACTCAGTTATTTCTAATAAAAATTATATTGCTATTAATTATTTATTATTTCAGTTGCCAGAAATAAAAATAATAAATAATCTAACTCTGGTAGTATTTAGCTAATAAGCCAAATATTATATTATATAATATACTTTTCTATTGGTTCTAACTCAAAGTAGCTTTCTAATCACCTTGCTGGTTTTTGAAATCATAGGCTGATTCATATTCGTATAGAAGAGACAAAGGCATTTACACGTAGTGATATCCACCAAGGTTATTTGAGACTACTTTTACGTGATGTGCCAATTGCTTACATTTAACTTATGGATAGACTATATATATTTGTACAAGCATCTTTGGTAGACTATAAATGAAATGAAATTATTCCAACTTATATATAAGATAAATTAACCTATACATATATTTATTTAGGAAGCAACGGTTATCATTATTACGTTATTAGACACAATATTAATAAAGAGATGTTAAAGGTAAATCTACATTTACATTGAGATAATAAATTGTAGAGTAAGCACATATATACTAACTTACTTACTTTATATTATAATATGATTTCAATGCTGTTTGTACATAAAATGTACATGTTTTTTTGTTATCAAGAGAGAAATTTACACCACTCCTAGTTTTGGCAAGGTACTTTTACTTGGAAATTATATGTCAAAAACAAAATATTTCTCTCTAGCAATCAATCTTCTAAAACACACTAATTTATTTAAAATTGGAAAAGGATTGTTCAAATTTGATTGAAATATATTATATTTGTATAAAATACAAATAATATATTCAGTATTTAATATAATGAAAACAAAGAATTCTCATATATATTACATGACCTGTGAATTGCATTCATAATATATGTGATAACAAAATTATTATAACAAAATAATGTTTTTCTTTGCTTTTTATAAATAAAGGTTTTTGAACATTTCGTAATCAAAGATTTTCACTTGGTACTATTATTATGAACTTTTATTATGTCAATCATGGCGAATTTATCAATGAACGCTATAGTGTATATTGGTACAGGATATTTTGTAATACCTACGCTAAGGCATTCCATGGCCGTGCCCGCCTGATGTTGAAAAGCCATTTTCGCACACATCTTGAAATTAAGGTTAATTTGTTTCGTGTCACTACGAATTATTATTTATAATCCTTTTCCGTATGCACGACAAATTCACCGAATTTTATGAAACACTTAAGGTTATGGCTTAAGCCTTTCAAGGCCTTCACACACAAAATAACGTAACGACGTAAGACGTAAGCGTAAGGAAACCAACCAATCAGAATCTAGTACTGTCTCCTCCACTTTTCTCCGTAAGACGTAAGCCGTAGCAGAGATGAGTAGGGAGATTGCCAATGAGCCTGTTTTTGATGGTCTCAATGTTTCTCTGGTTTCGGCGCGCCACCTTAGCGGAGGGCCCTCGAAGCAGTTCCACGTTTTTGATTGGTCGTGTATATATAGTATTACTACGCGTGTAATCTGGAGCTGTGTTTTGGCTCGTCGACGCGCCACCTGAACGAGACTCTCGAATTAGTTCCACGTTTTTGATTGGTCGAATGAATTCGTGTGTTCCTCGAAATCCACAATTTTAAACCGGGTGAACACTCAAATAGGGAGACTTGAATCCACCCTTTCTTACTGCATATTACACAAACCGTAGTAATGAGGTAGTAAGTTTTGCCGATGCTAATTCCCTTAATATCCATATGAAACTTTGTAAATAATAGAGTGAACAAATAAAACTTTAAACAATCCCTCGAACGTGGGTAACTACAGAAATATAAGTTTGCTAAATGATATACCACAATGACTCGATGACACACGCGCTTGATGTTGGATTAACGGCCGAGAGTCTCAAGTTCGGAACTCACGTCTCAACCCTTTTTTTTCTTCTTAATTATCAACTATGCTTATTGGTTCACCTAGTTAACTTAAGATTCATTAAATATATGATTATATTAGTCTACAAATATTGTATTATATTACATCGTATAAATGCAATAAATTGGTACATCAAACAGCGAACGTTTCTTCTTCCCGAGAGCCTACCTGTGACAAACACCTATGTTATGCTGTTTCATGTTTTAATAGGATAAATAATAGGATAAATTCGGTTGGATGGAAGACCTTGCTGCCCCGCCTGTTTGTCAAGAACGGTTTGTGAGGGGCGGCAACTTTTTCCCCACCACCGAGCAATTCATTCTTTTCGCTGACTGGAATATCGGCTGGAACGATGATCATGACCCGCGCGGTTACGAGAAATCTGTAACATCGACAGAGGCGATGATCATAAAATCCTACTTCCGGACTCGCCGCTACGATTTAGCGCCATGCTTTTGGTATCGCCTAAAACCGGAGCGTTGTACATCTCCCCACTCATCTCTGGTA